CAGACATGTTCTTGGATCTGTTCTAACTGAGGACAGAGAGCCGGCTGCTAGCCTTTCTGAACCAGCACTCGATGAACAGGGTCTGACTACTCTGTCTGAGGTTCTTCCTTTGCCAGTCTCATCTGTTCCAAGGATAAAGCTGGAAAACATGTATGAATAAAACTCACAGGAATACCCTGACAAGAAATTGCATAGATGTTCACTGTGTATGCTTTTGCATCCTTAAAAAAATAAATGCATTGGAACTCGCTACTCCCCTCTGTGAATCTCTACCATATGGCTACCTTTCCTGTGAAGTGGAAGGGTTTGTGTGTCCCAGGAATCCCAGGGGCTATGTTGTCCGGGGGCTTCTGCCCCCTGGTAGGCTCTCCCATAGCAAACTGGTCCTGGGTGAGGGACCAGACAAAGGGTGATTCAGATGACCCCTATGAGAAGAACCCCTTGGGAACAGTTCACCCTGCACGGGATAGGGTTACCAGGGCCCTGCCCTGGAGCCAGGCCTGGGGAGGGTGCCCGAGAGGGAGTATCTGGTGGCCAGGCCTTAGCCCGAAAAAGAGACCACCTGCAGGAGGCATCGTAGGGGTCGGGTGCATTATGTGCCGGGCAGTGGCCAGGAATGGAGGCCCTGGGGGACTGATCCCTGGCTACCAAAACTGCCAATTGGGACATGGAATGAAACTGTGCAAAACGTTTCGTTGGCATTGTTGTGTTTGTTGAGGAGAAAACTTACAAACATACAGTACATCACTTCAGAGTCACACAACTGGCGATCAAAGATTTATGTAAATTTGACAAGCTAAACGCACTATATACTGTACAGCAGCGGTCCCCAACCTTTTGTGCACCACGGTCCAGTTTAATGTCAGACAATATTTTCACGGACCGGCCTTTAAGGTGTTGCGGATAAATACAACAAAATAAAATGATACAGACAAAGACAAAAACTGTGGTATTTTGTAAATATAATAATAAACGCAAATTCAGCTGTGTAATTGTGTAACTTTATTAGCAGTATACTCCTGAAATGCGCCAACAACATTGAGAGTAACATCCTCCTCTCTGCCCCTTAATGCTCTCTGGTCGCTATGGTAACGCATAAATAATCCTTTCAAAATAAGACACACAACTACAAAACGGGAAAAGACCCAGGGAAACCGACTTAATGATTAAAAACCCTGAAAACCATACACTTCACACCCGAGCCTCAACTCTCGCGGCCTGGTACCAAACGACTCACGGACCGGTACCGGTCCTGTTGGGGACCGTTGCTGTACAGGAGACACGGCACTAGATTGATTGACAATGGTCTCCCACAATACATTGCAGCGTTACGTCAACTCCAAAGCCCTATCGTTGAGTCACTTCCGGTATTTCAGACAATCGCTTTCCGTCAAGAGCCACTTGTTAATTTGTTGCGGACTTGTTAAAGTGTTTTCTTAAATGTTATTTTGTTGTCAATTTTTTTATTTGTTTTTGTTTTTTTAATGTAAAAGTGTTTTCGGAAATGTTATTTTGTTGTTGATGTTGTAAATGTGATTTGCACTTCCCAGCCACCGTACATTTAAGCTTAGAAAGCTTAGAAACATATACTCACATATGCTTGTGCCAACATAAATCTAACATCTCCAATGTTTTGATTCTGCAAAAGTAAGGTGGATCATGAAATGAGGCAGAGGACCGGTCCAATAGAATTTAAAGGTAAGCACCATCTGTTAAACCAAAGTTGGATGAATTCTAAATTATCTGTTCGCTGAGTTAACGATCTTCACTGTTAAATTGGCTCAGTAATGCTGAAACATTAGACCAAGAGACGTTTCTTAAGAACTACAGGTTGATGTCTAAGTGTTTCACGGCAAGTCGAGTATGGACACTAGAGCAAGAGACTTTTGCAAAGATCTACAGGTTGACGTATAAATGTTCCGAGAAGCATTGGACGCTTTTAAAAGACACAGAATTTAAAGTATTTTGGAAGCCGGGCTCCCTATAAATGCAAAGTTCAGGGATTGGTATCCCCACCTGACTACGGACGCCTAGCGTGACCGGTTGGACCGGGGATCCAGGTTGGCGTACCTCAGGGACTTGGGACCCCGTTAAACGCTAGTGGTTAAGAGACCACTGGGAGTGGTTAGAGTTCACCCCCTTTTTGCCTTTTTTGGACAGCAGAACTGAGCTTGGGCACTTATAATCTTAAAAAGAAGCGCTGGGCGCACGGCCGGAAATATAGTTGAATTCAACGAGTGTATAGGAATTGTGTGATTCTTGTTGTTAAAATTGTAAATACATGGCTTCTATGTGAGGTGGCGAACATTCTGACAGACTGTTTCGCTGCGATGAAAATATTTAATGGTAGTGGTTAGAGTCCACTACTTTGCCTAGGACAGAGAATTGGAGTTGAGCAGGAAAACATGGTCGACAACAAGTAATTTTGAGATAATGCTTGTATATAGCTGCTTGGCTAAAGAAGTGTGCTAATTGTGCTAAAGGATTGTGTTAAATTCTGCTAAAGAATTGTGTCAATTGGGCTACTGCGAAGAAAAAAGGGTGTAGAAACTGAGGAAATGCAGTAACGTGGAGAGTGTGTGTGTATGTGACAGGAAGTGAAAGTGTCTGCATGCAGTCTGAAGGAAATTGGCTGATGTGAGTGCAACGAATGACGAGAAAGAGACATTTTAAAATGTGGATAGAAGAATCACAGAATGAAAGTGTCAATAAGTAGTGATGAGAAGGATATTAAATAAATGTCTTAGTTTGTTAATACAGGTGCCCACAGACCTGGATCAACTTCCTTCACGAGCACAGCGGCCGGGTCAAAATGATAGATTAACATAATTGGCATGATACCCAGGCCAGGTTTTGGCTGAAATTTCACAGCTTCACCTCGATGTACATCTTATCCTGGAAAGAAGCTTTAAGGATGGTCAATCTCTTCCTGAAGATAAAAGGCAGCTCCAGACCAACAGCGTCGACTTCAAGAATCAACAGCTGGTGAACAGACAGCAGCACTGACTTAAAACTCTGAAAGGTCCAGCAGCATGTACAAATACTATCGTGGATGGAAGCATGCGCTCTTAATCACAAACTGGGAAGTTCACCAGTGACATCCTTGTGTGTGAATGGACTTGAGAGGACCATCGGTTTCGCATTTGCAATGCTGGGAGTTAAGCAGCAAAAGAAGAGACCGAAAAGAAAAGAATGAACAGATAAGAAGAAACAGCTCATTGGGCCTCTGATTGCCAAAATAGTGTAGATTTAACAGACACCTGCTATCAAATGCTGCGGTTATCCATCGCTGAGAAATAACTCTCCAAGCTGCAGGACAACAGGTTGACTTCTGTGAAAAGGAAAATAGACTGGTATGACCAACCAGTGATGAGACAATAAATGTAGTTTTAAAATAGTAAATTGTAAGATGTCTTCTGCTGATTGAGCAATACAAGTGATTTACTGTATGAAGGAGATTCTTTTTTGTGGTAATATTTCAAATATACATTTCTGTTGTCCCGTCAACTTGGGTTGACAGGACAGTGGGTTATGTGGGTTATGAACTGATATGAAAATTAGGTGATCATTGTTAGATTAGGAACAGATGGTTTGATCTCACAAGTTAACAGGATGTAGCAGAGTGTGTTAGAGTGGAGACTAAAAAAACTGAGTTTCCTGTTTCTGATGCATGGGTGAGGTTGATATACACCTCTGACTATATGAAAATAAACTTGCTTTGTAAAATACATGACAGCATGTTACAATATAATTGAGTAAAGTGATTGGGTCTGTGACTAAAATGAGTGCAGCAGTGCAGACCTGGAGAAGAAATTTACAATCTAGTGATGAAACATTGGCATGAAGTGTTTAGGAAGTGGTTAGTGTTGTGTGAATTTTGCAGTTGCTAACAAAATTCTCTGTGTATTTAGCAGGTGGAACTATGCCAGTTGATCCCAGACTCTCCAGAATTGTGGAGCACTTGTGAGCAACCGGCAAATATGATGTAGGGAAAATGAACAGAGGGGGTGACACTTAAGTCTTTGTGTTGTACAGTTATTTCATGTTTAACCTTAATTTATATTTTATTCCTTCCTAGTTAAATTTACCCTTTTTAATTTTTCATATTTATTTCCTATCTTATTCATAGCCTTTTCCTTTTTGTTTTCTTTAGGTCACAAGCAGTTGTCCAAGCATTTCACTACATATCGTACTGTGTATGACTGTGTACGTGACAAATAAAATTTGAATTTGAATTTATTTGAATTTGAAGTCTGAGTTCAGACCAGATAAGCATCAGCATTTAATTAAAGCTAGAAGCAGTGACGACAGCACTGAATCTCGTGTTACCGGAAGTTCTAATGCCTACATCATATTGTTTTATTGGGAGCAAGAGCTTTTCTGGGTTTTTTTCCCTTTTTAAGAGAAAACAGTTCATGTTTGGACGGGTTCTGAAATAGGTCTAATATTTTATATGTAACAGTGCACTTAGACCCATCATTGGTCAAGATGGCGCCAGTGTGTACGGCCTGCCGTCGGACTCTGTTTATACTAGTGTTTTATTTTTACTTTGTTTTAAAGCATGCTAACTCTGCTTGTATATGATCGCCAAATGGTGCTGGCTATAAGATCCTCTCAGTTAAAAAATCTTTATTGCAATCGTGGATATCAGGGAACCTTCTCCCCACCGCTCCTGTCAGGAGTTCCAGCTTGCCTCCGCTGTGTTTCGGTGCTACCTCAACCGAGAGGGCGCCGTGGGAAACGCAGTGGCTTATTGGTGAGAATGAAGGCTACCTGGACACGATTTTGAAAAATACTTCACCCTGACACCTGTTGTCGGGCTTACGACAACAGGTTCCTCAGACACCTGTGAAAGGTTCCTGCAGTTTTTTATCAATAAGATAAAACATCTTCGATCTATGATCGCCGATCTATGATCAGCTGCAATCTTTTGTAAATGGACGCAATGTTCTTGAGAGGTTTCAGTCTGGTTTTAAAACTCTTCATAGTATAGAAACTGCACGTTTAAGAGTTCTTAATGATCTTTTATTAGCCACTGACTCAGGTGACTCAGCTGTGCTTCTGCTTCTGGATTCTCCATTTATAGGTCTAATTTAATAGCTCTACGTCTAATTTTTAGAAAATATAACATTTGTTTTCATTCATATGCTGATGATACTCAGATCTATCTTCAACTGAAGGGAAATAGTTCTGCCTCACTAGAGGCAGAACTAGAGGCAGTGTCTCGGTGAAGTTAAATCTTGGATGGCCTCTAACTTCCTTAACTTCAATGAGAACAAAACCGAAGTGATAATTTTTGGACCAAGTGGCAATCCCAGCACCTCTAATTTTAACCTGCACAGTCTTGAGTCTTTTGTCAAATCGCATGCCAAAAATTTAGGGGTTAATATTTGACAGCAATTTCATCTTTGAAAAACAGATGAGCTCAGTCGTACAGCAGTCTTTCTTCAAACTGAGGCTTTTATCTAAGGTGAGATCATTTTTATCTTTTAAAAACATTCAACGGGTGATTCATGCTTTCATTATATTCCAGCTGGACTATTGTAACTCCTTATATGCTGGAGTTAGCCAGACCTGCCTGGCAAGGCTGCAGTTAGTCCAGAATGCTGCAAACAATGGTTTCTATGATCATTTTCTATGATTTTATGGTGATTTGTGTGATTACCAATTCAACTCCGGATTTTTTCCTAGAGAACCAGCGAGAATCACAAATCATTCCAGGCATAGCAGATGGCACAATCAGTGATTGAGGTCAAGGGTCGTGTCATTTGGGGTGCAGCAATAACCACGAGGGGGTTGGCGGAAATCCAGAAGGACCAGACCAAGAAGGACCAGCACGCTGAGTCAGTTGAGTAAGAGAAACACCCAGACCTCAACAAAAGGGGGCAGATTAATCCCCCAGTCTGTGGAAAAGACCTCAGGGTAGTAGAAAAAAAGTAGAAGCTGGAAAGTAATGGGAGGTCTGAGAGTATTAGCTTTATTAATAGTCGGTGCGATTTTTATGTTATGTTAATTGCCCAAACACAGTGGTCATCCCACATCTGGTCCACTCGTTAAAGGGGTACGGACTGTCCAGAGAGGGAAAAAAGCGTGGCAACTAAGAGAACTGACATGTAATAGGTATAGAAATAGCAACCTGGGGTTAGATTGGCTAATTCAAAATATAAAGGAACAAAAGGTGTCAGACTGTGCGGCGGGCGTAGCCACTTGCCTAGGGATGGGTATCGTTTAGGTTTTATCCGATACCGGTGCCAAACCGGTACTTTTGAAACAGTGCCGGTGCTTAAACGGTGCTCAAACCGGTGCTTAAAGAATGGAGAACACAAAATTGGTCCAAAAACCTCTCATGTTCAGCTGTTTTTTGTAAAAAGATAACAATGTTAGCCTTTTCTGCAGCTATGGGGCATATATGGTATCACTCTTGGCTGGAAGCAGTGCTTAAACAATGGAAAAAACACAAACTTTGTCCAAAAACCTCTCATGTTTAACTGTTTTCCACTTTTTCTTTGGTCATTTTAGCCTTTTTGGCCAGGGTGAAGGGAGTATCTGCCATCAAACAAGAAGACAGCCGCATGTAGCTATGATGATGTTTGCTAGTTCACCTTACATGCATTAATGTAATAACGTGGTTAGCCTACTCAACGTAAATTACACACGAACAACATTAAGCTACTCACGCAGAGAAGAACGGCTGCTGCCATCATCATCCGTCATCATTTCTGCTACACTGGCAGGGCTAGGGGCCAGGACTCTATTCTTCGGGTTTTTGGGGGATGTTGCTCCGGGTCCGATAACTGGCAACCCACCCGCAGAGACGTGCACGGTGTGAGGTCTCGCAGCAAGCTATCAAATACGGCGCATTTCTCGGCTTTTAAAAAAAACGCTATGCGTCGCCAGGTGTTTCATCGGATTTGAGGTGTTACCTCCTTTGACAGTATCACAGTATCAGCTTAAAGCACTTGTTGCAGGCTGCTGAGTTTGCATCTTTTGCTGTGAAGTACAGCCAGACTTTTGACCGCTTCGCCTTGGGCATTTTTAATCTGTAGCTCTGCTCTAAAAGAACGTACGTACCTGGACCCCGCCTACTATCCTCGGAAACGTAAAATGATTGGCTAGAATCTAAAGTGTATCACAGCTCAGGAAAAAAAAGCACCGAAATAAAGCACCGAAATGTGCGCTGCTTTTCGGTCTGGTTACTACCGTTTATGTCAGAACCGGTGCCATCATGGCACCGGATACCGGTACCCATCCCTACACTTGCCCACACCTCTTCACTGAACCTGGCCCTTTCTATTCAAATGACACGTGGGGATTTGGTTGTATGCTTAAAATAACCAGAAGTGCTGTTTATATAGGAAACTGCTAAACTCTCTCCAGCCTGTTTCCACCAATTGACAATAAAACTAATCTAGGACATTTTACCCCAAGAAAAGCTAACAATACCTGTTTTGATTTTACAGTGAGCAACTAGGGAAGTCAGATGTATGATGCAGGAGAGATCCCAGTGGACTGGTGTACGGTGGTGTATCCAGCCCAAGGGAATGCCTCCAGGGAAAACATGACATAAATTGGCCCGTGGGCAAGATCGGCTTTGTACTATTATGCTGGGTGAAAAGGGGGTAAGGGTCTCAGGAAACAGGGCAGGGCAGCTCACAGCCCGGCGTAGATGCCAGGTGCTGTTCTAAAGGTCCACTTACTTGTTTGACTTATTTGTGGGGTTTCTAACATATATGGACACCATAGGGGTCCCTAGGGGAGTCACATTAATCGCATAGATCGCATTAATTATATACATTACAATGTCCTAAGGTCCTAAGGGGGTGTATGTGCAATGTTTAGAGATATGTGTTGCACTTTCATCCCCAAGAACACTGCTCCAGACAGTTCTGTAACCAGAGCCTGGAAGGCCTCAGAACATTATCCAAAACAATACACGAACAATGAAGAATACACAACCCATTGGAGGAATGCATGATATCTATGTTTGGGCAATGGGAAGGTTTTATTTTGTCTATTATTGGTAAACAGTGGCTCCAGTGTGTCATACTGTGACCTTTACAAGATGGCGCCTGGATTGAAATTAAAGTAGAGCAGAAAAACATGAATGTTAAGCAATTTGCATGACTGTAATGTCGGTGATATCCTACTTGGAGATTGTGTTGAAACCCCACAAAGAGAATCTATAAGAAATTAAATTGATAATTGACTTTGAACCATGGGATTGAAATCACTACATTCGTAGCAATTCCTATCACTAGACACACTGAAAAGCTAATTTGACCTCTTAAATCTGTTTTCACATAGAATGTGTAAATGTCACAAGCTTTTTAAAGTTAAGAGTGTGTCTTTGTTTGGAGTAGACTTCATCTGCTATTACCTTTTTAATTAACCATAAGCAGTGGATGATTGTAAATGCCAGTCAAGTATAATTTCTTATGTGTTGAACTGGAATGTTCTGGTGAGCACAGGTACCAGTAGTACTACACTAAAGTACCAAGAAAGTAGATTTTTGCAATAAAATAACTGTAATATATCATACAGTTGTGTTTTCCAATGAGAAAGGCTGAAATTAGATTTACAGTTTTTATTTTACTTTTAAAATGATTTACCTTAAACTGGTTTAAAGTGCACTTAATGCTAAGGTGTCACAGCTAAATCATACTCTGGACATAAGTTTCCACCATAAAAAGTGACAATTAAATAACTACACAAAACTTAGAGACCAAGACCATACACAAAACAGAAGCTTCCACTAACACATCTAGATATCTTGAAAGTCACAGTAGGGCTTTTATTAACTGACTTGAGGTTTAAAGTCAAATGAGAATACTTCAGAATGTAAAGAAATAAATAAAATGCATATTTACACTTTGTAATGTTCATTGACCAGCATCAAATACACTATTACATTAGACTCTTTCACAGACTCTTTTACATTTAAAATAGTCTCAATTTTCAATAACAATTATAAAATGTTATATTGTTATTATGAGACATGAAACGTTGTTTTGTTTGCCATATTTTGGATTATTTTATATGAAATTTTCTATGTTTTCAGCTTTTTAAACCCCCCAACAAAGGATGATTGGGTACTGCTAAGGTTCAAATCTGAATGCTTTTTATTTGTTTGCAGAAATTTTAAATTGCATTTTAACTTTTAATAACTTCTTTAACGATTCTTTGATTTCCTGTGTCTGAAGACCATAGATTATTGGATTTAAAGTCAAAGGCATGACAGTGGCCAAAGATAGACTTACAGTCCTTGCATTTGGAAGTATTGTACTCCCAAAGGTAAAGATAAATAGTGCAGGGAGGAAATAAATTGCCACTAATGAAAGGTGACTTGTGCAGGTTTTTAAAGCCTTTAGTCTTTCCCTACATGTAACAGTTTTTGACAAAGAATAACCAATACAGCAGTAACTTCCCACGATAAATGCCAGTGGAACCCAAAGAACATGAACTGGTGCCAAATGAGCAATTACACGATTTGGAGTAAGATCATTGCAGCCAAGCTGATACACAGGTCCATGATCACAGAAAAAGCTCTGAATAACCACAGAGTCACAGAAAGAAAGTCTTGTGAGAAGACCAACTGCAGTGAGTATGATAGTAATTGCAAGAAGCCAGAAAAAAGCGATCAAAGATAAAATGAGCTTGTGGCTGATTCTCATTTGGTAGTGCAGCGGGTACGTGATAGCCAGGACTCTGTCAAAGGACAACACAACCAGATTAAAAGCCTGAGCTGCAAAAAAGGTCAAGCAGAAAAACATGAATGCCAAGCAGTCATTGTAGGAGATATGGTGATGGTTAAACAGAAAAATGTCAACAAGCTTTGGCATCAAAGCAGAGCTACTTAACAGGTCTGTAAATGCAAAGTTCACAACTCCAATATGTTTTGGACTTCTCAATGTATGATCCAAAATTATGACAATCATCAGTAGTGTGTTTCCCACCACTGAAAAAATGTAAATAAAGCACAGAAAGACAAAGTAATACCTAATATTAGCTATGCCATTAAATGCACTTATTATGAAATATGCAGGTTTCACAAATGTGATGTTTTTCCCAACAGCTGAATTTAAAAATTCCATTAAAGTAATTTTTTTTTAATGTTGA